CCCATTCGCATTACTCGTCGTCTTCACCAACACCAACAGCGAATTGAGGCCCAACAGGGAGAAGAAGAGAATAATAATGCAACAGTGGATAGCATTGCTGAGAGGAGAACTAGAAGAGTAATTAGGATGGCCCAAAAGGTTTACATGTAATGAGATGTAGTTAGATGAGAATATTATAAGTTAGTAGTTAGTGACATCCACATTGGGTGGGCAACATGACATGTATAAATAGAAAACGGCGGGAAAACGAACATTTGTTCTGTTCCAATGGCGCAAACCGAAACCCTAACGCTCCTTCACGAGATCGAATCTCTCGTCTCCGATAAACTTCAAGTGGTATCTCATTTTTTTAGAAAGGAAATCTATATCAAACTTCAAAATATCCCTTTCTTTTGTTACTAGATATGACAATATTAACTAGTTTGCAACTCAGATTTTTAGTTTGCGCCTTTACTCTCAAAATTAAGATTTAGTTTATTTTTATTTTATTTTTTCAAAAGAGAAGAAAAGAAAGGAGCCGTTATTCTTTAATCTGCAATGGCAATGGAAAAAAAAGGAATTCAAATCCATAGAAAAGAATTCTTTAACATTTGGATCAATATTTTAAAAGTATTATAAAATAAATATAATAACATTTTGACTTTTTTCAAAAGTTAGAAATCTTATTTTCCAAAATTTGTTTTTTTTTTCAGAAGCTGCTTCCAAACACGCAAAAAATGAAAAATACTTAGGATACCAAAAAATAAAAAGAGATACGAAAGGATTCTTAATAAATAATCCAATCATATAGAAATTAAATCTATATCAGGCTATCAAAAAAAAAAAAAAAAATCTATATCAAACTTCTGAATAATCCTACTTGATATGGCAATATCAATTCAAATCCAATCATATAGAAATTAAATCTATATCAGGCTATCAAAAAAAATAAAAAAAATCTATATCAAACTTCTGAATAATCCTACTTGATATGGCAATATCAATTCAAATCCAGAGAAGAAGAGAAAGGATCCGTTATTTTACCTCTCTTTTTGCCCCCAAGAGTTGAGTTGAGGTGAGGTGAGGTGAGGTGCATAAATAGGTCCCTCCCTGATGAGTGTTTTGAGCTCTGAAAGAATCAAAATTCAAAAGAGAAGAGAAGAAAAGAAAGTAGCAGTTATTCTTTAATCTGCAAAGGCAAGGCAATGAAGAAAAAAAGTTCAAATTCATCACAGAAACAATGTGGGAAGAGAAAGATGAGGGAACCGTGTGATGAAATATTGAGAGATTGTTCTGTTCTCAATGAAGGTTCATCATCATCAAAGAAACACAAAGGTTCATCATCATCATCATCATGTGACTTTCGTGTGATCAAGTCCATGGAAGAAGGTACATCATCAAAGAGGAGAAGCAAAGGTGAAATTGTTGACAAGGCTGAATTGCCATCGTCGAGTAATGGGACAACAACGTTAACAACAAGATCGAAGGAGGATGAAGTAGCTCAAATCCTCGTTGAACTTTCAACTCAGATCTTGAAGTTGCAAAGTCGATGCTCTGTGATCCCATTACTGTGGGGACGTAAAAAGAAAAGATCTCCCATTCCCATTCGCATTACTCGTCGTCTTCACCAACACCAACAGCGAATTGAGGCCCAACAGGGAGAAGAAGAGAATAATAATGCAACAGTGGATAGCATTGCTGAGAGGAGAACTAGAAGAGTAATTAGAAGGCCCAAAAGGTTTACATGTAATGAGATGTAGTTAGATGAGAATATTATAAGTTAGTAGTTAGTGACATCCACATTGGGTGGGCAACATGACATGTATAAATAGGATCTCTTGTAATGTAACTATAAAGGACTATTGAATATACTCCTCAGTGAATAAAGAACGTTTCCTTTTCTCATCTCTTTCTCTCGAATCCTTTCTTGTCCTCCTTCCCCTTTCTGCTGATTTTGTACTTTGGGTAGGTTTATCCTATCACAGAATCAAAGGCTTGCTGGATTGCCCGTGTTTGTAATAATAATCTCCAAGTCAACGATACTGTTTGTGGTCTTTTAGACTCAACGACCAGTTGTGTTTTGCTTTTGTCAAGCTTTGAGAAACATACAAGAAGGAACATCTGAATCTGATGATGTTTGTCTTTTTTGTAATGTAACTTTCTTTCCTTTTGGGAGAACCTTTTGTTCCTATGTTTTTAGCGTTCAGTTAGTTCTGGGTTATGGTTCCCCTAATTCCTTTCATTTCTTGGCAAGTAATTGAATTCATACGGTGAGTCTCTATTTTGATCATGCAGTTATTTTAGGAGTTTTAAAAAAATGCTTTTTCCCTTTTCAATTGGAAAGTTGGAATGCCCCTTTCTTTTAAAAAAGTTGGCATGATAAATTTAGTAAGCTGTAATTTGAATAATATTTTAGGGAGTTTTGCACTTGTGCATGCATGATAAATTTAGTAAGCTGCAATTTGAATAATATTTTAGGGAGTTTTGGTAAAGTTTAACCGATTAGTATAATAAGCTGCAATTGGAAACCTATGTTTGTAGTGTTCTGGGTTATGGTTCTTTTTTTTCTGTCCTCCTTGTAATCACAACTGTTACAGTATAATTCGATCGAATTTCCAGAGAAGATTTTCGGATTTGAAGAGTACCAAGGTTAGAATGTAATCCGCATTTTTAAACTATTATTTTCCACTTCATGTGAATTAGCATTTTTCGGTGATGTACTTGATTTCCTAGTCTTCTTTACAATTCTTTTTTTGTTTGCTGAATTTGAAATATGTGAAAATTTAGGATAATCTCTCTGCACCTTCAAGTGATCTTCTGATTTGAAAATACCCGGAATTGAAAATCCACCACCTATACCATTTCAAGTAAATTTGCTATCCTTTATTTCTCTTGCAATTTAGGTGTTCGATGAATAGTCCTAATGTGGTACATTTACAGTTAAAGTTTCCTTCTTATCACATACTTAAAGTTTGCATTTCTATCAAAGTGCCATCAGCAAATGAGATCTTTACAGTACAAAAGAAAGACTTTTGATTTTGTTTTGCATAGAAAGTGCTTCCTAAAGATTAGTGGGAATCTGTTTCGTGATTTACCAGCTGTATCATTGATGATCAGTGGTCATGTCAGTGTTGATGTGTTGGAAGCTTTTTTACCATTTAAACAAATTTATGTATGCAATGGAGTTTCTACTTGTTTTGTTCTTCAATTCCTATAATTTTGTTATTGAAGTCTCGCTTACTGAATCAAGCTTGTGATCTCATGGATTTTGCAGAACGAATTGGATGTTGATAAGCAAAATTGATCTGCTACTCTCTGTGGGGAATACCAGTGCCGTAATTTATCATTCTTCGGAGTCTTTTGATTGCCAGGATGACAATATAGTAAATAATCTTCCCCCTTCGACGGAGGACAGGCCCATATGTAGCAAGTTGTGAAGCCTCGTTTCTTGCAAAAATCAAGGTATCCAATCTAATGATAGAAAAAGAAAAAGAAAAACGTAAATAGAACAAATAGAAGGATTAAGAGTTTATTTTTGTTGGTTTAATTGACATAGTAAATGAACCCAAGGTGAAATGTGGTCTAACAAAAACAAGGAGCAAGTAATTAGCAGCAGAATTTATATTCAACATACCAATAACTCATGGTAAACGAAGGTTCGAAGAGCTTCTCCACTCATAGCCGCTCTTTCAGGCCTAAAATACTTAACAGAATCAAGATATGAAATATATACACAACACTGATTCTGGTAGCCACATTCCGAGCCAAACTCCTGGACATACATTCCAAAAAGGCATACATCCACTCCTTCAATCTGCTGAAACAAAAGAATAACTTAAAATAAAAGATGAGAGGTTTAGTTCTCTAGAAACAATTGGAAATACATTTAATCATCTATTAACCTCTGTACTTACTTTTGATCTATAAGGGAACTCAGCAAGATAGTTTTCCTCCAAAAAAGATGTCCCAAAACTCGTTCTTCACTTTCAATTGTTTGTCAACAGATAATACTACTCTAACAGTTAGATTTTCTGCTGCCAAAACCTGGCAAATTGGAGTAGTATATGGCAAATCAGAAAATATATATTTTTATATATATTTTTTTATAAAAGGATATAGGTAAAAGCAATTGATAAAGATCAATAACAATAATATCAGAAGAATAATATCTTGCATGTTTCTTAGTACTGGAGTTCTTTTACGGAAGATTATTAGTTTACTATTACTTTCAATTTACTTTCTTGCATAAGAATAAGAAAACGTTAAAACATGTAAGTTTATGTGCATGCATGTTATTGCGGTAACATAGGTATTCAACCACTTCAATTGAACAGTATACTCCATCTTACCTCATCAAAATTTTCACTCCCTTCAACTTTTGCCCTATCTTCTCTCTCTTGCATGAGCCGACTAAAAAGTCTTTTCTCAAGGTGCTCGCTGAGCATGGTGCTTGGCAAGTCCTTGGCACAAAAAATAGCAGTCTTTGGTAAGGGTACATGCATTCCATTTTCAATATCCTTTAAGCGGCGTATAGGACATATGTACTCATCTCCGCAATCCAACTCTCTTTTATTGTTATAGAGTGCACATATTTGATGTTTCCATCTTTTGCATTTATCACATTGTACCCACTATAAGAAAAAATAGTAAAAAAGAGTGAGTTTATAGTTCTCTATATAAAGCTGAATTATAGTGCAGGGAGATTAAACTTACCGCTTCTTCAATTACTTCATCATTTCTCCTTCTATCAAGAAGTGTCTTGGAAACAGATACCCCATTGAATGTGATGTGCCCGCTTCGAGAATTCTTATAGCACAAGGTGCAAAAGCAATTCTGTGTATCAAACTCTTCTGCTTTTTTATAATAATAGAATGCATTTCGCTTGATGCGGATGTCGCAACAGAAGCAATAAATGGGCACTGGTTCAAAAAATAGCTTTTGCATTGAACATAAATGGCATGTGTTAGCATTCATTCCCGTTTCTTCCTCAAACGTATTCTGCTATAAGAAGCATCAATTTATATATGCTAAATATACTCAAAAGAGTAGAACTCAAACATATCAAAGTAATAGAAAACACTAGAAGATGGTGTACTAACCTGAATAAATTTCTTTCTCAGACTCATAATGTGTTCTTTTATTTGATTACTAGTGAAAATCTCAGTTAAGGAAACAATATTAACTGTTGCATTTGAGAACTTTTTTTCCATTTGTTGATCAGCTTTTGGCTCAATGACTTTGTTTGTAGCATTTTTCCCAGCCTCCTGGTTGAACCCAGTTCTGTCTTGTGTGCCCTTATTATCAGCAACAATAGTATCGTTGCAAAGAGTATGCATAGTGGGGTCCGGCTCATCTGATATATTAACAACTTCTAAGTCTTCAGAGCTAATTATTTCACTACTGAAAATCGGTTCAGATGTATCATCAGTCTTCATCTGACTAATGCTTATAGAATCAAGCATTGGATTTGAATCATCAGGCTCAATGACTTTGTTTGTAGAATTTATCCCAGCCTCCTGGTTGAACCCAGTTCTGTCTTGTATGGCCTTATTATCAGCAGCAATAGTATCGTTGTAAAGAGTATGCATAGTGGGGTCTGGCTCATTTGTTATATTAACAACTTCTATGTCTTCAAAGCTAATTATTTCACTGCTGAAAATTGGTTCAGATGTATCATCAGTCTTCATCCGACTAATGCTTATAGAATCAACAGCTGGATTTGAATCATCAGGCTCAATGACTGTTTTGTAGCATTTATCATAGCCTCCTGGTTGAACCGAAGTTTTTTTTGTATGTCCTGATTATCAGCAGCAATAGTGTAGTTGTAAAGAGTAAGCATATTGGGCTCTGGCTCATCTGATATATGAACAACTTCTAAGTCTTCAGAGCAAATTATTTCACTACTGAAAATCGGTTCAGATGTGTCATCAGTCTTCTTCTGACTAATAGAATCAAGCACTGGATTTGAATCATAAGGCTTAATAACTTTCTTTGTAGCATTTATCACAGCCTCCTGGTTGAACCCAATTTTGTCTTGTATGCCCTCATTATCAGCAGCAATAGTATAGTTGCAAAGAGTATGCATATTAGGGTCTGGCTCACCTGATATATTAACATCAGAATAGATACAAGAAATGGGAGATTCTGACTGTTCCTGCAATTTTGGAAAAGCTTCAAGAAAATAAGGTTTGACCATCTCGTGATCCCAGTTATCGGAACTTCTGTTATCAACTAAAGAGACATTAAAAGCTGACTCCAACTTTGGTCTCTTGGGTGGTGGTAGCTTGGCTTCAGAATTACCACAAGGGGCACGTTTATTTCTTGCAACAAAATCCATAATCATGTTATTTGGAAATTCCAAATGATATTGAGGATTGCATGAATTTACATTTTCAGATCCATCCAAACTAAAAAGACCTGCCGAATATTCTGAAGTGAACAGTTTATCCCTATTGAGAGGTCTTGTAGGAAGTTGAGGCTGCTTCAATGGTTTCTTCCCTAACATTTGACAGCAATGTTCAACTTGTTGTCCATTTGTAGGAAGTCTAGCGAAACTTGCTTTTCAAGTGGCTGGTCCTATCATAAATGCCACAAATTATTGTTCAATGACTATAAACAACAAATATGGATATCCAAACGGTGGGCTATCTCACCGTTCTGTTATTCAAGAGAAAGTTTTTTCGCCTGATAACTGTTCATCAATCACTACATGTAGTGATAAAGATTTGTTTTCTGACTTTCCTGTTTCTGGTGGGGTATGCAATCTGGAAGCTAGCTCCAAATCAAATTGTTCCTTCTTTCCTCAGCGGCATGCAAATGATTGTATGTTTGTATAAGTTTTTGATTTCTTTCTAAGTTCAATGCGTGTATGCACACTTTTGCTTTTGTTTTCCTTTTTCTGCTAGATTATTTTTACTTTCAATAATGTAGTGTTTACCTATTTGATTGACTACTTTGGCAGGGGAGATGGATATGTTAAAATATAGAGGTTATTCGAGGACTACCCAGAAAATGAGTCTATGGCATTTCATACTACAACGGGAAAATCCCTCCAATCTGAATCTTCAAATTTGCTGCAATCTCAACATCTGTCAAGGGAAATTTCAGATGTTTCCAATCTTTTTCCTGTCCTGACCTCTAGTTCAAGCCTTGGAGATATAAGGCAATGTCAACCCCAGAAGTTGGATTTTCAACAGAATTTCAAACATTTTAGGCAGCAATATGAGCTTCGTGGTAAAGCTTCTATGGCCCAGCCTAGTTCATGCTTCGTTGATCAAGGTGAAAATTGCTGTCAAATGTTAGGGAAGAAACCATTGAAGCAGCCTCAACTTCCTACAAGACCTCTCAATAAGGATAAATTGTTCACTTCAGAGTGCTCGGCATGTGTTTTTAGTTTGGATGGATCTGAAAATGTAAATTCATGCAATCCTCAGCATCATTTGGAATTTCCAAATAACATGATTATGGATTTTGTTGCAAGAAATAAGTGTGCCCCTAGTGGTAATTCTGAAGCCAAGCTACCACCACCCAAGAGACCAAAGTTGGAGTCAGCTTTTAGTGTCTCTTTAGTTGATAATAGAAGTTCTGATAACTGGACTCACGAGATGGTCAAACCTTATTCTCTTGAAGCTTTTCCAAAATTGCAGAAACAGTCAGAATCTCCCTTTTCTTGTATCTATTCTGATGTTAATATAGCAGATGAGCCAGACCCCAATATGAATACTCTTTGCAACTATACTATTGTTGCTGATAATGAGGGCATACAAGACAAAATTGGATATAGAGGTTATTCGAGGACTACCCAGAAAAATGAGTCTATAGCTTTTCATACTACAACGGGAAAATCCCTCTAATCTGAATCTTCAAATTTGCTGCAATCTCAACATCTGTCAAGGGAAATTTCAGATGTTTCCAATCTTTTTCTCGTTCTGACCTCTACTTCAAGCCTTGGAGATATAAGGCAATGTCAACCCTAGAAGTTGGATTTTCAACAGAATTTCAAACATTTTAGGCAGCAATATGAGCTTCGTGGTAAAGCTTCTATGGCCCAGCCTAGTTCATGCTTCGTTGTAGTTGACTGCATTTTGTCTGAGATGAGGGTATTGTCTGAGATGTGGAAGGAATCGAGCTATCTACTTGTAGTTGACTGCATTTTGTCCCAAACACAGTATTCAGTTGAGTATGAAATCGTTGTATCAACGTCTCCTCGTTCATATACTCCTCCTGCCAAAAATATAGAAAGAAAAATCATCAACAAATAACAAAGATGCTTAGTTATCAAGATTTGGGCACAACTTGCATTTAATCCTCTTATTTCCTTGATAACAAATAGAAACCTCACTTGCTCAGACACAATTCAAGAAACAAACCTCTGAAGCAGCATCAATAAACAGCCACTCTTCCAGAATATTTGCAATATCAGATGCCTGTTGTATTGGCTCCGGAACTAAGAATTGCATATCTGAAGTAAAATTTAGTTAGTCTCAATTCAATGACAATCTTATGTTCAAGTAAATGCTATCACTATTAATTTCAGCATCTGTATGGTGTCAAAAGTTACACAAGTTTTTGTACCCAAAAAAATAGCTACACTAGTTCAGGTTAATATATCAAATTTTATATCACTTACATCTTATTTCTAATCAACTGACGGCAGTAGCTGATTCTAGAATTCTTACGCCAGTCCATGGAGAACCCTACTTGGTTTCTTTCATATTGGTGGCTTAAATCAAAACCTCTCTTCTGAGGAAGGATTGGGACAAATGATGAAGAATTTTGTGGAATTCGTCTACAGGAATTCCCAGGATTAGAACCCTGGGCATACATCTTCCCGCTTTATCAGAAACTATTCATCATGCAGGCACTACAATCCACGGCGCTACAATCCACTAGAAATAATTAATGTAGTGAAAGAAAATACTATGATGTTCATGATCTGATATCAATACTCCGAATATAGAAAACGATATCATGAGAAATGTAAACATGCTCATAATTGAGTTTGCACACATACAAATACCAATGTGAAAAGCAATTAGAAATAGTTTAAGAATCATAATATAACGAAGAAGCCATCCATCTTAAAATGGCATCACAACCAAATAGAACAAAATTGGGTCATCAAAATTCAAAATTTCAAAAAGAAAAGGTCGTGACAAAGATCTAAAGACTAATCTAAATTGCATCATTCAAGTACGTAATCATGGACAGCTTCCCTACTTGGAAGATATTGAAAAAATATCATTAGCATTTATAGAAGAAAATTGTTCTCCTTAGTTCCAAACTCTTCTTCCATATGGTAAGTAGCTTTACCATATAAGTAGAAAGGAAGGAATCAACAGAGCTTGTATTCACGTATCATAATCAACTAAGTATCAAAGTAACACCAGCATTATTTTTTATCATGGTATCTCCATAAGAGATAATACTAATAAACATTTATGCAACTTATGAAAGGGTTTCAGTGAATCCCCCACCCCTTTGTTTAAATAATACATATGTCTACACTCGAAATTATAAAGTTCTGTGTGTGTGTGTGCGTTTTTTTTAATACTCTGTATCGTAGTTTTGTACATCACCAGCAAAGAAATTTAAGTCCAAAACCTTTTATAAACCATGTATAAATCCTTCCCCTGTTCAACGTTATTCAAACTCAATGTGACCAATGTCATAAGCTCTAATAATGTTAACCTAGCTACCCAGAATAGCAGAGCTACTATTCAAATTTCACCACTGAAAAAAAAAAACCACCCCAATTGCAATCTCAGCTATTTAATGCCATATGTTTCATCATAAATTTAAAAAATATTAAAAAAAGTTCTTTGAACAACACGTGAACTTCAAAAAATAAATAATGAATTAAAGCAACCCCAGATTTAGAATGTCCAATTAATCAACTATAGAGCAATAAATAATTCAAATGGGGTATTAAATTAACAACTTCCTCCTTTTAACACCGGTTCTGTAACATGGCCGATCCAATATGAAAACCGGACCGGTTACATGACCGGTTCACCATTTTCCAGGTCCACCCGGCCGAGTCGATCCGATTTTTATAACATTGAAAAAAAGAATTCTTCAGTGAGGGTTGTGTTTTTTATTTTTATTTTTTTTTCTTTCAATTATTATTTTATTGGAAAAGGATATTGTTAACACTTTTTTTATTACTTGTTATTACCAAATCTTAACCGTTGATTTTCGTCAATCTAACGATTATAATTTATTAGGTCACACTTATTAATTAATTATTAATTTTAATAAATTATAACCGTTAGATTAACGGAAATCAACGATTAAAATTTGATAGTAACAAATAATAAGAAAAAAAGAAGTAGTAACTATAACCTCTCCCTATTTTATTAATACATTAGGTGGTCTTTTTCTCTCGATAAGTCTATATCTTCTCTCCTTTTTTTTTTTTTTTTTTTTTTTTGATAACAATCTTCTCTCCTTTTTTCTTCCCCTAGGCATGGACACTTTTTTATCATGTACTATTATCACCATTCGTAAAAATTTCAAAATTAAGAAAAAAATTATATTGTACAATCAATAATGCATTGTCTTTTGATTTTTTGGCATTCTGTTTTCAAAAATAAATAAATTACATATTGTCATATGAGAATCTGCAAAATAATATAAATTTATTATGCTTATATTTATGTTGTATCTAATTTTTAAATCTTAATTCTATTCTTCTTATTTTATTTATTTATTATATGTTAATATTTAAATAGGAACCAAATCTATTTAAAAAATAAAATAGATTTTATCATGTTTAAATACATTTTTGTTTAATTTTTACATCCTAATTAGATAGGAACTAATATAATTTTTTAAATTAATTGTTAACTTAACACGAGTTGGATTGAACTTGACGAGTCAACCAATCCATTAAAATGGAGTGGGTTAGGCGGTGTATTTCAACCCACTAATCAAATAATCTGCCTATATATGTGGGCGGGGAGTATCAACTCGCATGTAATTTAAAAAAAATTATTAAATATTAAATTATAACTTAATTGGTCTATATGAATGGCTATTATGTGACACATAGTCTTTTTTTAAGGGTCATAATGTTATTATATTATTATGAAGGTTATTTTTTATTCACTTTTGATTACTTCAACACAAAACACAAAAGAAACTTAAGTTTGTTTTTGGATTTAAATGCTAATGTTTATACCAATCAAAGTAATGCTTATGAAATTCTAGTTTCAAGATGAAATAATGTGTTTATTTGCAAATATTTACATGATTGATGTCATTATTTTTTTGTTGAATAACATTGAAACTATTAATTAATCTTAAGATATGATTTGTATAGTTATGCTAAATGAAATTATTAGTTTAAATCATTCTTAAGTGAGGGTTGTGTTTTTTATTTTTATTTTTTTTCTTTCAATTATTATTTTATTAATACAATAGGTGGTCCTTTTCTCTCAATGAATCAATGTTATTAAACTCGGCCCGGTTATCGAACCGGTCGAGGTACTGGGTTACTGGGTC